GCCTAGGCCGTGAAGGCCGGATGGGTCGAAGGTCGGGCTTTGACCGCGTTTTCGGGCGTGCCGTGGACCCCTAAAAATACCTGCCTTCCTGAGGGGGTCACAGCTGGAGGGGGGCTCGCTGTGAGGCACTCGGGTTAATATTAAAGGCTTGACGTGAAATGGTGAGTGTGTGCTCTTTCCTGCCGCCCCTTTAACGCTGTGATTAAGGAGACACCCGCTCAGGTAAAAAGAAGGATGCACTTAAGCATACATTTAATTTGGGAGAAAGAGGGGAAAGGTGTATCCCGCCGGCTGGTGGGAGAGCGGCCATAGTGCTGCTGGGGCTGGGGCTGCAAACCACTGCCACTCGTGCCTTTACAAAGCACAGCCGGGAAAGTAGGCGTTGGGAGTGCAACAGTAACTTAAATACTTTTTGGAGGGCAGAAGCCTAACTTCAGACAATGTATCAAAATCTAAAGGTGAAACAAAAGAGGCATCGACAGAGATAGGATAAAGCTTCTGTATGTATAGCTTCCTGAAGACAGCCTAGGTTTCTGCCTGGAAACTTTGGGTAGGCTCTGAAAATTCCTATTTTTACCTGGTGTTGCAGGGCCTGTGACATTCCGCTTGAAGTACACCAAGTACAGCCTGGTTGAAGGCGCACTAAGCTGTGCGCTCAGAAGAGCTGTATGTATCCGTAGCGTATCCCTAGATCAGCCATATGGCACAAGTGCAACAAAACTGATGCTTTGGTTGGTGTCAAGCTTTTGGCTTGCATACATGTGTTTTTGACTGGGAAAAATGCATGTCACATACATCCCAAAAATACCAGTTTCCCCTAATGGAAATACACTATACCTAGATACTGAGGTGTAAGGAAGGGCAGCAGTTAGTGAAAAGATGACACAATAGCCAACAGCCACACCTTCACTTTTTGAATGTTTTGACACAGTAGTCAAACATGACTTAGGAGAGTGTAGTATTAATAGAACACTTTTAAGTAATGATTTTTTTTTTACCAGGAGGAAGGAGCTTGTTTGTCTTCAGTTGCAATGTGTTTTCTCCTCCAGACTTGGGACCATGGCTGTTGACTGGACTGGTTTTGCATATGCTGCATTGCTGGCTGCTGGAGGTGTTATAGGATACACTCGTAAAGGTAAATGCTGGGACAGCAGGATTTGGAAATGAAGCATTTTGTGTTTCCTCTCCACTACACGAAAAAAAAAAAAAAAAAAAAAAAAAAAAAAAAAAAGTGATGCAAGACATGAGAGCTTTGCTATAATGAATACAACTGCATCTTAAATCCATCCTGCACTGCTATAAATGAGCTGAGTCTCATGAGATTTACTTGGGTCAACTTAAGCATTTAAGTGGTCACTTTTCTCTGTTAATCTAACTGATGAGTTTGTTTACAGGGCAAAAAGGGGCTGTCATGTTATTTTTGACCTTCAGTGTATTTTGGGCCTTCTCATTTCCTTTAATCATTCCTGCATTGAGCGTAGTAGATGATCTTTGATTAAAGTTTATTTTCTACCGAGGCCTGGCTTGATTTTGAGATTTCCAGGTGCACACTGGAAAGAAAACCCTTTACTTCCGTACTCTGATCTGGTGGTTAATTGTCGTTAGATATTAACTCTAAGATAATCAGGTTTTAGGCTATTGTGTACTATGCAGTGCATTTTCCATATTTCAGTCATTTCTGCAGTCCTTCCCAGCCAGCAGCGCCCTGCCAGAGCCGAGCGCGGCATCCCGGCAGAGGTCGCAGCAGTACCGAGGATGGGCAGGCGGCATCTCCAGGCTGGTCCCTGCTAGCTCTCCTGCAAAGTGCCTGTCCCAGCAGCGCGTCAGTCTGCTTTGCCGTGGCCATTATCCATACCAATTTTTGTGATTTAGGGTCACTGTTTCCCTGCATAGCATGTGCATGCTTTGCTCTTAGAGGCATGGCTTTATATCTGACTTTCTGAAAACACTTGCTGTATTTTTTTTGTTCGCACCCTGCTGCCCTCACTGACCATCCCAGTCCACTCTTTAATAGTTAGTCAGTCCTTGTTGCAAGTCTGGATTTTTTTTTCTTTTATTGGTAGTGACTTCTGTTTTCTTGCAAATATAACAGGATGGGGAGCTAAATGACATCTGGGGGTCTGGATTCTTTATTTATAAACATTTTAGGATCAGCTTAATCCAGATAATGCCTGTTGTGTTGATTCTACGCTTTTATCGTACAGTACTTGGTCAAATGCCTATTCAGAAACCTAAGTGTATTACTGAAACACTGGGCTTTATGAACCAGTTTTGTAATAGCACCGAAAGAAGATGTCAAGTTATTTTTAAAAGCGATATTTTAATCCTCATTGCCATCTAATTGTTTTTTAATTATTTATTAATTGTGATGTTGGTGATACCATTTCTTTGTCCAGGACTTATGTCAGACTGAAAGGCTTATGGCTACATGTGTTGTCCAATTTACCTTTATAAGTATTGACACATTTCTACCATTTTTGGAGACTCCCAAGTGCTGTAAGTTATAGTTAAAATCAACAGACAGTCCAGATAAATTTACAAAAATGCTTCTAAAGATATGTATGGTAGAGACAACAGACAAATTTAGGTTTGTGCTTTGAAGATTATTTTTCCCAAATTGCAAGTATTACTAGATCCTGATCATCTCCCTCTAATTTAGTCAGCTTTGCCCCTAATGCCATGCAAGAGAATGACTGAGTTACAGAAGTACTACCTCTCTATTCACACTGGGTGAGCTAGCTGCACTGAGGCAAAGTGGTTTCTATTTTTAAAATATTTGGATAATACTGTGTAGAGAGGGAATTACTGTGTAAAGATTGAGCTTAAAGACATTGTATTGCGAAATAACACTTGAATGGTTTCTTGCAGGTAGTAAAACCTCTTTAGCTGCTGGTCTCACCTTTGGTTCTATGGCTGGTTATGGAGCTTACTGCATAACACGTGATCCAAGAAATGTGAAGATATCATTGTGTAAGTGTTTTACTACAGTGAACGAACAAACAAAAACCCCCAAAAGCAGTTTCCTGAACTGCATGTAAAATTCTCTCTTTTATTAAATTTTGAGTATTGCTTCAGTTTAAATGTTAGTTTTTAAATAGAGTTTGACACTTATTTTGCAACTTAACTTGCAAAATTTGAGAGCTTAACTCAGGAACCATTTGCAGGGTAAGGCAGATTGTTCACACAAAGCCAGCAGGCGTGTGTTACCACCTGGCAGCGCCTCCTTTTATTAGATGGTTACCTAACATAGCAAATATTGTGAAATCCAGCTGAGAAGCATGGGAGAGTACTGGAGTAAAATATTAGTGCTACAGATAAGAATCTAATTTGAGAAGTAAAGTAGCTAGTTTGCCATGAAACCCTCATGGAGGCAAGGAACTACAGTTTCTAAGGGGGATGTTAACCTCACACAACTGATTTGCTGTAAGAGCTTTTGGGAGCTTGTCTCACTCATGGTTTTAGCACAGGTGGCTTAGGCTGTGGTTTCACATGCAAAAATACATTTAAAATACATTTAATCCAGATTGTGTGAGTACACAATAGCTTTTTCTGAACTTAGTTAGACTTTATGGTATTCTGTTCATGCTGGCTTTGTGCTTTACATCAGCCACAGTTGTAAAAATTCCATTTCAAAAAAATGTTGAATAGCATTGTTAGCAAAGTATGTTCCCACTGAGTTCTTGAGAAAAGGTAGTAATGGCATACCTGATCTGCTCCTAGGTGGCCTAAAATTGGACATTCCAGTTTTGCCACCATGACCTTGCTCAGATTAAGTTATCCCACTGTTTAAAAAAAAACCCCTTTTTGGAGTGAAGACATAGCCTTAAGTATATGTAAATTTGTAATCATTCAATGTGAGGTGCTTTTAAGTAGCGTACGGTACTGTCCTTTTATGGGTCAATTCAGTCACTAATTTGGGTACAGAATTTGTGAAAGAGAAGACTAATTAAAACTTACTAAATGTTGCCTATTTCCCAATTCCCTGGTTTTGAAAGGACTAATACAAAATGTCCACTAATCTGCTTGTGAACGTCAGATATACTAAAATATTGTTGGTGTTGTGCATTTCATGTAGTTGTAGCCATGTGAGGACTTCTCTCAACTGGAGAAATGTATTTTACTAATTTAGCAGAAATTATAGCAACACAGATGAGAGAGTTCACTACATCTGCCTTAAAAAGTTCTTATTATGTAGAGTAAAAGGAACAAAGACTTTTTAAAGCAGTCTTAGTTTAGAATGTTTACGAAGTAATGTTCTAATTGCTTAAAACCTAAACATATATTTAACCTTGGCTATGAATGGGTGGCCTCTTCAAGATCCACCTGTGCTGAGTGAAACAAAGAAGGTGGTCTGAACTAACTGTGGTAGTTTTTGCCTGAAGTGAGTTAGGAACTATTCATACAAAGTACTCTGCCAGGGCCAACCATTCAGGCTGATTTTCATCTCTTCCAGGCTGATGTATCTCAGTCTGGAAGAGGGTGTCTTTATATATATACATAGATACCTCAAATGAATAAAGAACTCAGTAGGAAGACTTCAGAATTAGACACACTTGGAAACATCTACAGGTCCACACCTTAAAAACCTCTGGTGTCTACTGTATCTGCTACTGTCAGAAAAATAAGGGCTTTCCGTAATAAATGCGCATTGCTTTTGTAGAAAATCAGAATGATTGCACTTATGCCTAACGTCCCGAAGTGCCAAAAGCAACTGGAGCACAGATGAAAGCAGGAAATGAAGTGCATGGAAGAAAGTGACTGCTCTGAACTTAGAAACCAGTGGAGTAAATTGCAATGTAAAATGAAGCAAGTACCCAAACCTTTAAAAGGTTAGGACATTTAAAAAAAAAAAAAAAATCGCCCTCCAAACCCATAACTATCTATAGTATTTATCACCTACGCAAGAGTCTTCTACAATAATGTAGGTAATGTTTTAGTACAAGACCTTGATAGTAGGGTTTTTGGAACTTGTCCTACATAGAAAGAGTATGTAGCATACAGATACCCCAGGCACATTTTCTTAGTTGTTTTATAAATTATCCTTTCAGACATTTTGCCACTCCCCCTGAAATTAACTCTGCGCTTTCTTGAATATTTTAATGCAATTTTATGCGTTTGGAGTGGGTGTAGAAATTCAGACTTCAGTATGCAACAGTTAGTGCTACTTAGAGTGCAAGCTGATGCACCTGATTTATTGAATTTCTGATCTGAATCTGATTCACTGAATTGAATTTGGCTTTATTTATTGAATTTCTTTGACTGATTTAAGGTGAAACAGTGACTATCTAGCACTTTTGAAAATCAGGTCTAAAAGTTGAACATCTTAAAAACTCACTGGCACATGTGAAAAGCCAGATACTAGTAACCAGAAAAAAGAACTTTACAGAGTGAACATGCTTTGTAGCTTGTAATTAATTGTAAATATACTCAGAGCTCTGGCAAGACGCATACTGTGGAATAGTCCACTCTTCAGACATTCCTGAGAGGATCAAGGCTATGGGGCCAGAAAACAAGAGCAGTGGATAATGGAGCGTAATAGCTTTTTGCAGGGTATCTTTAATGAGTGCACATGCATAGCTGATAGAGTTTTGTAAGATGCTTGTAACTGTCAGAGCTTGTTTTATAATGCTGGAGTGAGTTTAAAACTAATTCTTGACACCTGTGAACACAGGACTGTCCACAGGAGTAGACAGTGGAGTTTGAAGACAATTAGCCAGATGTTTTAACTGCTCCATAAAAAAGGGAAGAGATTTGTGTAACTGCCATTACTTTGGCTGCAAGAGTGATAAAGCCCAGCTGCCCACCAGAAGTCCTGCCTCTCTGCCCACTTCTAGGAAGCATTTCAGGTGACAGTTCTTTAACGAAGCTAGCTATCTTTGCAGAGTTTTATGTATTCTCATCAGTCTTCTCATTTATGTAGCGCTCTGCAGCCATAGTTGGATATGAAATCCTCATGCCTGATCAGTTCATTGCTACCTCCATTTTTAGGTAAAACTGCTCCAGGAAGAAGATGCAGTTCCTTTCACGACGTTTGTTCTCTGCTGCTTGCACTGCATTTGTTGCCCTCTTGGGCTGCCCACCTCTTGTCACAGACAAGGATGGTTCCCTTGTAGCAAAAGGAAACAAGGGAACTTGTGGTCATGATGAAGGAGATGTTGATAGCCATATTTTGTAGCGAAAACAAGTGGCAAACCTTCCAATCTAGTTTTTAAGGCTCAGCCAATAAAGAGCTAGTACTGTAAAAAGAAAACAGATAAAGTTGGATGCTCTAGCTCCTTGAATAGTTAGAAACCAGCTGCACTGGTCTAGGGTGTGGGATTTATGTGGGATTCCTGTAATTCAGCATACACGTTAACTGTTATGATGAAGATTCTTCCTACTTTATTTGTATCCCCATGAATGTAGATACGGGGGAGTAGAACTCACTGTCTGACAAACTTACTTAGTACCTGTGGAATAGTATTTAAGCATTCTGCTGCACATGGAAACCTTACTTGTAGCTGAAAGAAATCATAGCAGTGTATTTTGGAAAAGCAAGAATGTTTTTATAGACCCTATCTCTGATCTAATGTTTTATTAAATTACAGTTCATAGCAAAACATAGCAATGACCTTCGATAACTTCCCATGTTCCTGAATGGTCCACGGGGAGAAGTGAGAACATAAATATATTGAATTGTCTTTTACAGTTTCAGCTTTTCTTTTGACCATTATAATGGGAATGAGGTTCAAGAGGTCCAAGAAATTAATGCCAGCCGGACTAGTAGCATGCCTGAGGTAAACATATATTGAGGATCTTTAATGTACAGATTTCATGGATTTTCAAATAGTTGCCATTTGACATCTGATTCAAGCCAGTATCAGTGGAAGTTACTATCATCCAGCAACTGTATGGTTTAAGTGAAATTAGTTTGGAGGTCACAGTCCCGTTTCCAGTGAACAGCTTTTTCATCTCACTAGGCAGATACATCTGATATGGACTGACTTTCTCAGCACAGAAAGGAGAGATCTGCAATTAAATATTAATGCATATTGATAAGGCTCTTGGAAGAACCTGAGGTAAGCCTCAGTGTATTCAAACACATATACATAGAATTAGTCATCTAATTTCATACAACACGGTCATCTTAAAAAGACCAACACTTTGGTTTAGAAGTGCTTTCAAAGCTACTGGAAGCGCAGCACCTCTGAAAACTAGGACGTTTTTGACCTACCTAGGAACTTAGGTCAGTATTACTGCAAATTGTGATGTTTCTAACCATTCTGACTGCGTTATTGCTGCTGTTCATTTTGGCATTCTGGGAAACATAATTTAATGTACTTATTATTGTGGAATTAAATTATGGAGTAAGTGAAACTTTTTTTTTCCCCAGTGAGTCTGTAACTCAAAACATTTTTCCACTCTAAGTCAGAATCTGCATCTTCTGAAGGAATAATAACTGTTGCTTTGTTGTTACCAGATTCAATGTAACACCATTAACTGTTTTACTCCAATTACATACAGGGAGGAAAAAATCAGATACAAATTGTCAAGATGCAAAATTTAAGATCGGGACTTAAACTGGAAAATGTTATTTTCCATTGTGGATCGCTTTTCAGGCCTAGGTGGACTGTGTGTTTCAACAGACACTGAGGCTGTAGATTTAGACATTTTAGAAGATTGCTCACTAGAGGTTCTAGTGTCACGTATTTATGAATGTGCTGTTATTTAATGATGACTTTCACTGTTTTTGTTCATGTACAACCATATTTATGTTTTTCATTCTGGTTTTTTTTGCAGCCTTTTGATGATTTTGAGGCTTGTTTTTATGCTGCTGTAGGAGAATTTAGCAACTTAAGAACCAAAGTATGACTGCCTCACTCACCGAACAGAGGCAAGCTCTCCATACTTGAAAGACAAGTTTGAACACAAGTCTTACGTTGCATTTATCTTTTCTGTAAAAGATCGGTACCTATTATTTTATTATTGACATTTGCTGATATTTTGCAATCTTTTTTTTTAAACTAAAACAAGTGTTTGGTTGATGATATATTTTGATCTACTTCTGTTTAAGCAGTCTGTTAACTCAAGGGATCTTTTCTCCGTAAGTTTGATCTCCTTCAGGGGTGCTGAGTGCCCCAAGAAATTGAGTTTTAGTCTTGCACTGTGGCTCTGAGGGAAGAATATATATAAATACATGTTTATGCTAAAAAGGTATATTGTATTGAACCATAATTTTGTAGCTTCTGAGATTAAGTAATCAATTTGAATCATACTGTCAGTTACTAATCAATAAAAGCTCAGGCCTGTACTGTGTTGCACTAGAAAATCCACTTTCTTTTCCACTGGTCCTAAATGTAAAAACTATTATCAATGTTCAAATAAAATGTAAAATGTTCAAAGCGTCTCATTTTTTTTATGTAGACTTATTTTTGTCAATGGAAGAGTCTGGTGATCTGCTTTGTATTCAGTACCGGTTTAAAACATGCACCATGCTGTAAATTCCCACTGACATCAACCACAGCTGAGGAAGGTTCACCATCTTGCACATACAGGTTCTAAACTCTCAGTCTCAGTACTTTTTAACAGGTTTGCCATTGTGGTCTTACAGAGATTATCTTGCTGAAGTCCTCCCCATAAGCAGAGGGGACTGTTCAGACATAAACTATTCAGGGATTGAAGCTGCTTTGGTTTGCGTAGAAAATAATTAAGTACTCCCTGGATCTGAAAGCTTGGCTAAGACTGTCTTCTGGTGCACAGGAATGTGCAGCCAAATCATTAGGAAACTGAGTATCGGTGAGTGCACTATTGAAGACAAAGAGAAATTTTGCTGCTTTTAATTTTTTTCATACAGAACTTGCTTATAAAGGCTATTTGCTCCACAAATCCATCAGCAGAATGCCAAGCTTATTACTCTTGGCAGGGGCTTAGGGAGTGACAAGGTGTTGCAAGCGACTCAGATGTCTAAATCACAATTGATCAAAAAAAAAAAAAAAAAGGCAATTCCCCAAAACCACAGCCCCCAGCTCTAGAATCTTTTGATAACAAATGTTGGTATTAGTGATCTCCAGGTGTCGCCACGCTTACAGGGATTGAACTGGTATGTTATGGACTTCAGATTGGGATCTTGGTACCTAAAATGATGGCTGGACACATACGATGTAATTCATTTTATCCTGAAGTAGAACTTCAAGGCAGGTTAGAAGAATTGAACTGCCATGTACCATAGCAGGCTTAGGTGCTATGTAAAGTTTAGGCAACCTAGTGCTGAAATGCAGAAGCCATCCTGCAGCTGCTGCTAGTCCAGATCCTAAATGCAGTAAGATTTTGAGTTTTTGAGCATGTCCAGAGTTGAGCCTTCTATGCATTTGCTGAATTAGCCCAGGGAGGCAGGGGGCTGGGGGTAGCCTCCAAGCCCAGTTGTAATCCAGAAGCTTTGGCTTGAACTCCTGAGCAGCCCAAACAAGTAGCATTCTCAGCAAGTCCAACACATCCCTATGGGACTGAGGACTCGCAAAATGTAAAGGTGATGTCCTGTGCCAGTCTGTGTAATGGTTCAGTGATCATAGCACGTGTTTGGAACAGAGCTGTAGCTCAATGAAACTTGAGTACTACAGTCGGCATTGCAAACTACTGCTTCCAGCTCCCTAGGAGATTTTAATGTAAAACCTCTTAGGAGTTCATCTGGGCAGTGCTTAGGCAATTGGGGCTTTCTGGTTTGTACCTCTGAGATGCAGCATGTGGCTCTTCTTATGAACAAGTCAGAAAAGGAGTTAACTTTGCTGGGCAGCAATTCAGGATATACACTGGTTGACTGTTTTCTCTGCCTAATCAGTTTGAGTCCTACTGAGAAAAACAACTAACTGCAAGGAAGAATAGTTTATGGCACTGTTCATAAAGGGGACAGTGATGGTTCCCGTGAAATGAGGGTAAAGAATCTGAAACAGCAGTGAATGCTTTAAGCACTGTTGAGACAAAACTCACTGAAAAGGTAAGCAGCCAGTGCAGTTCTCTTTACAACTACTTGGGAAGTGACTGAAAAAGGTAAAACCTTACAAAAAAAACAGTCAAGTGGCATTTTCCTCACTGTGACCATCTAGCCAAGCAGCAAAAGGAAGAGCAAGGGAACAGGTGGTTTCAATGGATGAAAACCACATCGAGTTAATTAAACACATGTACTTTGATCTTCCAGTGAATAAACTCTCTTCTAAGAGATTCATGTGGGGATTAAACAAGTTTCTTTCTTTTGCCCATAAACTTACGAGGATCATGAGTTTTAGTGGGTTTTTTAAATTTTTTTTTTTTAAACTGCTGCTCTTGAAGTACAGAGACAGCAGTGAAGTACCGCAGGGTGACAGTGAACTTTGATCTAGGAGAGCACCTAGAGAGCAAAACCAAAAGATTCTAGGCCTGAATTTAAATTATTTCCCCATTTTTATGGAGTGGCTCTTCCTACTGCAGTTTATTAAAATGGGGAGAGGAAGGGGAAGAGAGCTTGCTTTCTACAGTACTCTGGAAGCTACAGATGAAACATTTTACCCTACCAGGCATGTACTGTAACTAAAAAGCCACAAAGTATCAGCATATTTTATTTCATATAATTGCTTCATGAAATACCACTTTCTGGACTCAACAGGTCCAAATTAGCCTTTTACTCTAATTTAAAAGGGTATTCTGTTTCAACAATTATCATGTGACTGGCTATATGATGCAAACTACAGAATACATCTATGCAGTTTACACTTATAAGGCACAGCTCTGGTAATATACTACTGTTGTGCTATCTTCAGCAGCCACATGATTAGATATTGAATATTTTCCTCACAACAGCAACAAACTTCTCATCTGTTGGTGGCTTCCTCTGGCTGCCAGGTTGCAAGAATTTTTTGATTGTTGGAATGTTGCTTGTTCTTCCTTTAAAAGCCTGTAAAAAGCAACAGTAAAGCCAATGAGAGTCAGAAAACTGTAATTCCATCCTTTATAGCTTAAAAATCAGGTGACTTGGATTTTTACTTCTCAGACATACTTAGTCAACAGAGAAAGGTAGTAGCTCCTTATAGCCAGCTCAGCACTCAGCATTTTCCATTTAAAACAAATAAATAATAAATAAAAAAAAGCAAACCCACATCTACAACATATTAGTCTTTTTAGAAAATCCAGGTGTGAATATTCAGATCTGCAATGCTGGTGCTATAAAGTTTACCTTAGTTTCCTAGATGGACATGGGAGAAATTAATATTAAGAGTTAAGATTCATCTGGTAAAGGTGGAAGAAAAAAAGAAAGAAAAAAGAAAAAGCCCACAGCCTGAATCCAAACCCTGCAGACATATTTGGGAAAAAAAAGAGGCAAGGACAGGAATACCTCAGTGCAAAGCACCATGGAAGACAGGACATAAGAAACTTAACAGCTCTTCATATATGACTTCTTCAAAATACAATTTTACTAGCAAAAAGAGACGGACAGGAACTGCAGACACAACAGGCCACAGACTTCCCCTCCTGATGGTCATTTGAAGACATGGAAGTAGCAGTTACAGGACCAAACTGGTAGCGTTAGTAAATGAATTCCTGCCAGCTGAGAACAGCTGGGAAAATGTCGTGGTTTAACCCCAGCCAGCAACTAAGCACCACGCAGCTGCTCACTCACTCCCCCTGCCCCGGTGGGATGAGGGAGAGAACCAGAAGAGTAGGAGTGAGAAACACTCCTGGGTTGAGATAAGAACAGTTTAATAATTGAAATAAGATAAAGTAAAATAGTAGTAGTAATAATAACAACAATACAATAATAATAGTAATACTACTATACAAAGCAAGTGATGCACAATACAATTGCTCACCACCCACCGACCGATACTCAGACAGTCAGCGATCGCTGCTCCCCGGCCAACCCCCCCCCCAGTTTCTATACTGAGCATGACACCATATGGTATGGAATAGCCCTTTGGTCAGTTTGGATCAACTCTTCTGGCTGTGCCCCCTCCCAGTTTCTTGTGCACCTGGCAGAGCATGGGAAGCTGAAAAGTCCTTGACTAGCATAGCAACAACTAAAAACATCAGTGTGTTATCAACATTCTTCTCCTACTAAATCCAAACCACAGCACTATGCCTGCTACTAGGAACAAAATTAACTCTACCCCAGCTGAAACCAGGACAGAAAAGTAGAGCTGGAGAAAGGTGAGCCCCCAGCAGCTCTGGGGTCAAGGCAGTGCACATGTTCAGGTTGTAGCCAACAGAAGTAGACCAGAGAACTGTCAGTAACATAGTACAATTGTTCAAAAGATTTAAACATTAATTAGCTTTTAAAACCGGGCAGTGACATTTGTATGTTACATTCCATATTGAGATCAGATGATTACTAACCTGTAACACAGGGAATCCAGACAGTATATCAGGTTTACATTCTTCTGCCATTAAAATGGCTTCCAGCAGATGGATGTCTGCCAAGCTTAATTTGTTGCCAACAAGATAATCATGCCCATGGTCTTTTAGGGCCTACAAAACACAAACAAACAAACAAAAGTCATGTAGGATGTGACAATTTTATCTAGATATCTCATTACAGACAGATTTCTACACAGCAGAGCAAATTCATGCAAGAATCTATAAAGTTAGAAAGTGATAGGTATTCTCACAACAAAAACTTAAATGGGAACTCATGTTTCAGTGGGTGTGGACCTATCACTCACTCTAACCTACTGCACCAGGTAGCTATAGCAAGTCCAGTCCCACAAGAAGGACTTCAATCACAGAAAAGAAACAGGACCAACGTAACTGTAAGAGACAGTCAGGACACCTTCCCTGTAGTGTAAGTCAAGTGAATTCCCAGATGTTTCAGCAAAATTTGAGATTGCTGATTATAGTTTGAAACAGGTCAGGAACGAAGGAACACAGCCCTTCCACCCTTCATCCTGTATGGAAGGATTCTTTCATGGCAAACTGCTGATGCAAGAATCGCAGCCTGCCAACACTACTAATAGCTGTAACAGACAAGCTGTGACTGTTGCAGCACAGCTTCAGAGCAGTTACCAGCTCTCCAGCCTACCTTTTTCCTGAAGACTATCACCCTTATAGCAGGAGAAGGAAACGTGTCTGTGCCTAGTATACTCTAATGCTACACTTCAACAGCTAACAAATGTCCACTTTGGAAGCCAATTCCTTCTCCAATCCCAGCTGCCAATTTTACTATAAAAGAGGTAGTAACCTCTGACAGAGG